GTGGATAAGGGAGTACCTAAGCAATAGGAAGCAGAGAGTTAGTGAGGGGTGAGACCTCAGATTGGTGTGAAGTCACCAGTGGAGTCCCACAAGGTTCTGTACTTGGACCTATCCTGTTTGATATACGTAAATGATCTCCCAGAGGGCATAGACTCGTTCCTCTCAATGTTTGCTGACGACGCCAAAATTATGAGGAGGATTAAGACAGAGGACAGCTTGAGGCTTCAAGAAGACCTGGACAAGCTGCAGGAATGGTCGAACAAATGGTTAAGAGTTTAACCCAAGCAAATGCAATGCAATGAAGATAGGTGTAGGGAGCAGAAGACCAGATACATGGTATCATTTGGGAGATGAAATACTTCAAGGGTCTGAGAGAGAGAAAGACCTGGGAGTTGATATCACGCCAGACCTGTCTCCTGCAGCCCATATCAAGAGGATAACATCAGCGGCATATGACAAGTAGGCTAACATAAGAACGGCCTTTAGAATCTTGTGTAAGGAATCCTTCAAAACGTTGTATACCACATATGTCAGGCCAATCCTGGAGTATGCGGCTCCAGCATGGAGTCCATATCTAGTCAAGCATAAGACTAAACTGGAAAAGGTTAAAAGGTTTGCCACCAGACTAGTACCCGAGCTGAGACATGAGCTACGAGGAGAGACTTCGAGAATTAAACCTCACGTCACTGGGGAAGACAAGAGTTAGAGGGGACATGATCACCACATACAAGATTCTCAAAGGAATTGATAGGGTAGATAAAGACAGGTTATTTAACACAAGGGGCACACGCACTAGGGGACACAGGTGGAAATTTGAGTGCCCAAATGAGCTATAGAGACATTAGAAAGAACTTTTTTAGTGTCAGAGTGGTTGACAAATGGAATGCATTAGGAAGTGATGTGGTGGAGGCTGACTCCATACACAGTTTCAAGTGTAGATATGATAGAGCCCAATAGGCTCAGGAAGCTGTACACCTGTTGATTGACGGTTGAGAGGCGGGACCAAAGAGCCAGAGCTCAACCCCCGCAAACACAACTAGGCGAGTACAATTAGGTAACAACACAGGCGCACGCACTTTGTCCAAGTGTTGCTGGTGGGCTGTAGTGTTGCTGGTGGGCTGTAGTGTTGCTGGTGGGCTGTAGTGTTGCTGGTGGGCTGTAGGCATTTAAAATTATCAGCTTATCCTGATTCCAGACCTGCAATGCCGTTCCTTATGTCAATGTCTCGAGGGTTTGTTTTGTTTGTGTGTGTGGTGTGTGTGTGTGTGTGTGTGTGTGTGTTGTGTGTGGTGTGTGTGTGTGTGTGTGTACTCACCTAATTGTACTCACCTAATTGTGCTTGCGGGGGTTGAGCTCTGGCTCTTTGGTCCCGCCTCTCACACGTTCAATCAACTGGTGTACAGATTCCTGAGCCTATTGGGCTCTATCATATCTACATTTGAAACTGTGAATGGAGTCAGCCTCCACCACATCACTTCCTAATGCATTCCATTTTGCTAACTACTCTGACACTGAAAAAGTTCTTTCTAACGTCTCTGTGGCTCATTTGGGTACTCAGCTTCCACCTGTGTCCCCTTGTTCGCGTCCCACCAGTGTTGAAAAGTTCATCCTTGTTTAACCGGTCGATTCCCCTGAGGATTTTGTAGGTTGTGATCATGTCCCCCCTTACTCTTCTGTCTTCCAGTGTCGTGAGGTGCATTTCCCGCAGCCTTTCCTCATAAACTCATGCCTCTTAGTTCTGGGACTAGTCTAGTAGCATACCTTTGGACTTTTTCCAGCTTCGTCTTGTGCTTGACAAGGTACGGGCTCCATGCTGGGGCCGCATACTCCAGGATTGGTCTTACATATGTGGTGTACAAGATTCTGAATGATTCCTTACACAGGTTCCTGAACGCCGTTCTGATGTTAGCCAGCCTCGCATATGCCGCAGACGTTATTCTCTTTATGTGGGCTTCAGGAGACAGGTTTGGTGTGATATCAACTCCTAGATCTTTCTCTCTGTCTGTTTCATTAAGTACTTCATCTCCTATTCTGTATCCTGTGCCTGGCCTCCTGTTTCCACTGCCTAGTTTCATTACTTTGCATTTACTCGGGTTGAACTTCAACAGCCATTTGTTGGACCATTCATCAGTCTATCCAGGTCATCTTGTAGCCTCCTACTATCATCCTCTGTTCAATCCTCCTCAATCCACACACGTGTGTGTGTGTGTGTGTGTGTGTGTGTGTGTGTGTGTGTGTGTGTGTGTGTGTGTGTGTGTGTGTGTGTGTGTGGTGTGTGTGTGTGTGTGTGTGTGTGTGTGTATTCACCTAGTTATGTTTGCGGGGGTTGAGCTTTGCTCTTTCGGCCCGCCTCTCGTCTGTCAATCAACTGTTTACTAACTACTTTTTGTTTTCCACACTACACACACACACACCCCTGGAAGCAGCCCGTGACAGCTGACTAAACTCCCAGGTACCTAAATATAATTTTTTTTTTTTTTAATTTTGCCCCGAGGGGCGAGTTTATGGGGCAGCGCCACTCATCCTGTGAGTGTACACGCCGCCATAGTGACAGTATTGGGCAGCGCCACTCATCCTGTGAGTGGACACACCGCCATAGTGACAGTATTGGGCAGCGCCACTCATCCTGTGATTGGACACACCGCCATAGTGACAGTATTGGGCAGCGCCACTCATCCTGTGAGTGGACACACCGCCATAGTGACAGTATTGGGCAGCGCCACTCATCCTGTGAGTGGACACACCGCCATAGTGACAGTATTGGGCAGCGTCACTCATCCTGTGAGTGGACACACCGCCATAGTGACAGTATTGGGCAGCGCCACTCATCCTGTGAGTGGACACACCGCCATAGTGACAGTATTGGGCAGCGCCACTCATCTTGTGAGTGGACACACCGCCATAGTGACAGTATGGGGCAGCGCCACTCATCCTGTGAGTGGACACACCGCCATATTGACAGTATTGGGCAGCGCCACTCATCCTGTGAGTGGACACACCGCCATAGCAGCATGTACAACACTCCCCAATAGGAAGAAAACCCGCTGGTTTGTTCATCCTGTCACTTGTACCCAGACACAGCTGGGACTTGCTTAACTGTCTCAAGTGAACAGCTCCTCAAACAAGAAGATTATTATCTATCAACCCTTAAAAGCTTACGTTATCTTGCAGGTGCAAAATGAGGAAATCTTTTAAGAGCAGTATCAATATTTGACAAATAGTGTTTTCCTAACTCAAACAATGTGGGGTTTATTAATCTACAGTTATTCCTAATGTGTCTCAGGTGTTCACATTCACGTAGATAGTGGTCAAGGCGGTGTCCGTCACTCTCACCACAGATTCTACAACTTCGCTGATCAACTGTTGTTTCCATTCCGTATCTCCATGGATATTTGTATACAAGACGGATTCTCGCTATTACTGATTCTCTCCCTCGTCCTCCTCCTCCTTCGTCCATAATGATTGGGATTGCCAGCAGCAACCATGTTGTACCATTGTACAGATTCACTGGTTTGTGCTTCTATCCTCCTTTCCTCAGTTACCTTGTCACGGTGATGTTGCCTGACAATACCTCTAATTTGTTGAAGAGTCTTGGGTATGAAGTATTCAATATGGTCTCCTTCAGCACCTTCAGCAGCCAGCACATCTGCTCGGTCATTCCCACATATACCAACATGGGAGGGGATCCACAGAAACTTGATGACTCTTCCCTGATTGGTAAGTACTCTCACATCTCTCTCAATTTCAGCGACTATTGCAAGATTTTCTGCCCGATTTTTACTTAGGCTTTGCAGTGCTGCTTTTGAATCGGTGCAAATCACTGCACCATTAGTGTTCCGTTCAAGAAACCTTAACGCCATAACAATGGCAGTTAGCTCTGCTTGCGTTGAAGAGGCACAGTTCTCAATACGTGCTTTTTCTTCATTACTGCGTTGGAAAGTATTATCCTTGATTACCGTGTATGCTGCACCAGCCCTGCCATTGACAGGATTACATGACCCGTCAGTGTAGATTTGATCTACTTCATCTCCGGCTTCTTTATAAATTTCCTCGAGATACTTGTGCCACATTTCTTGTGGTATCATGTTGGATTTTTTCATTGCCATTTCATTGATGATGATCTTGCATGAGTCATCCTCCCAGGGAGGTAACCTCTCTACAGGCAGGAGCTCACGGGCTTGCTCAAGCAGGTGAAGCTCTTCAAGGTAGCAGACTGATCTGTGATGTCATTTTTTGCTTCTCCTGTTTCCCCCTGAAAGTAGCAATCCCAGGTACCTATTTACTGCTAGGTAACAGGGGCATTCAGGGTGAAAGAAACTTTGCCCATTCCCCCCTGGTGCGGGAATCGAACCCGCGCCACAGAATTAAGAATCCTGCGCGGTATCCACCAGGCTACCAGGCCCCCCCCTCCCCCACGTGTGTGTGTGCCTCTCGCGGTGGTGTGTGGGGTGGGAGGATGGTGGCGGGTTTCCCTGGCCTTACACCATACTTGTGCAGCCTCCCACACACGGCCCGCCACTGTGGGACAGATCCGGTTCAGATACTTACCTTTCAGTACTTACCGGCAGGAACCCAGCGTAAGGTATCCACGCCGCTGGTGAGGTGTGTGTGTGTGTGTGTGTGTGTGTGTGTGTGTGTGTGTGTGTGTGTGTGTGTGTGTGCGCGTGTGCGTGCGTGCGTGCGCGCGCGCGCGTTCTGAAGGGGTGCGTGTACGTCTGTGTGCGTGTGGATCAGTGTGACCATTGACCTCCTGGTGTTGGACCCCCGCACATACATGTGTGTGTGTGTGTGTCTTACTGAGAGACATGTTGATGGTCAAGGTCATTCTCAGGGACTGTAAGTCACTTGGTAGCGTGCGGCGACTATCTCCAGCCGTTGTGGGACCTGTGTGACTGATGTGATGTTGAGGGCGGGGTCCAGCGGCCCTCACACCCGGGGGCTCCCACCACCACCAGTCTACCTTTTCAGTCGTGACACATTTAGTGTGTTACGTCATACAGTAGCTTGTGTGTTCCCGTGCCCGCGATTGTCACGGGCACCGCCAGTGGCACGCCCTCAGGCACGCCCTCAGGCACGCCCTCAGGCACGCCCTCAGGCACGCCCACAGGCACGCCCACAGGCACGCCCACAGGCACGCCCACAGGCACGCCCACAGGCACGCCCTCAGGCACGCCCTCAGGCACGCCCTCGGGCACGGGTAAGACATGTCAGCTGAGAACAGGACTAGAGCCACACGTACCAGACCTTCCTCCTGAAACTTTAATTTTCTTTGTGGTGGTTGACATTTTCCTGGAGACTGGTTCCATCTGGTGTGCCTTAACACCCCCCCCCCTCCCTCCCTCTCCCCCCCTCTGTGTCCCTTACATTAGGGGCCCCGGGCCCCCTCACTCCCCTGTGGGACACACGGAACTCTCTGTATCTATGTATTTACGTATGTAGGTTAGATTAGCATTTTAAAAGCACTACAATCACCTTCTGTGGTTGAGTGTTCAATAAACCCTTGAACTGTATGTTTAACACATCTCTAACCCTGTCCATAGAGGACAGAAGAAAATGTATATATGCTGGTTAGCATTGTAAATGTGTGGCCACCTCTGTGGTAGAAAATAATAATAATAAATTAGCTGTGGCACAGTCCCCCCCCTCCACATTATTTACACCCCCCTCCCCTCCCCCCCTCTCCCCACTGTAGGACAGTTCCCTCCCCAAGCGTTACTAACAGTTCACCACACGTCACATAAGGTACAGTAACACCTCTGGCCCCCCCCCCCCCTGGCCAGACACTACATATTGTAACAATGTGCACCTTCCTACATATATTGACGTAATACACAATTATAATTTGTAATGTTCACTTTTTTAAAGAGTGCAGAAAAATAAAGCTAAAAAAAACCGTAAGTTCAATATACCTGGAGCTAGTAGAGCGCATGTACTGTGGTAGGCCTTAGTGTATGAGGCCCACGATGGTACCTTACCTTGAGGTTACCTTGAGGTGCTTCCGGGGCTTTGCGTCCCCGCCGCCCGGTCGTCGACCAGGCCTCCTGGTCGGGCTAAACTTCGTTACCAACATAAATATAAAACCTTTACCGTTGTTTTCAATGGCACCAAATTATAATTTGTAATTGTGTGTGCCGTGGACACGTACACTGGTCCACCTGGGTACTGGTCATACCTGGTTGATGGGGTTCTGGGAGTTCTTCTACTCCCCAAGCCCGGCCCGAGGCCAGGCTCGACTTGTGAGAGTTTGGTCCACCAGGCTGTTGCTTGGAGCGGCCCGCAGGCCCACATACCCACCACAGCCCGGTTGGTCCGGCACTCCTTGCAGGAATAAATCTATTTTCCTCTTGAAAATTAGTACTGTAAGTACTGTGTAAACGGTGCGGAGGCTACCATGTTGAGCCGGTCTTTACCTCCCCACTAATTGATCCATCACCTCAACATGACACTCTTTAACAATTACGGTGACGTAATATTCACGTTTTCTATGCATCGGCCTCGATAGGTTAGGTGGGTTCATTGGGTTAGTACGTTTGTGGTGAGGCAAAACGCGTGTGTGCGTGTGTGTGCGCGCGTGTGTGTGTGTGTGTGTGTGTGTGTGTGTGGTGAGTGTGTGTGCGTGTGTGTGCATGTGTGTGTGTGTGCGTGTGTGTGTGTGTGTGTGTGTGTGTGTGCGCGTGTGTGTGTGTGTGAGCGGTGTGGTGAGTTGTGTGAGTGTGTGTGCGTGTGTGTGTGTGGTGTGTGGTGTGTGTGTGTGCGAGTGATGTGTGCGCGCGCGTGTGCGTGTGCGGGCGCGTGTGTGTGTGCGCGCGCGTGTGCGCGCGGTGTGCGCGCGCGCGCTACCTAGTTGCGCTCGCGGGGGTTCAACTCTGGCTCTTTGGCCCCCCCCCCTCAACGTCAATCAACTGATGTACAGGTTCCTGAGCCTACTGGGCTCTGTCATATCTACATTTGAAACTGTGTATAGAGTCAGCCTCCACCACATCACTTCCTAATGCATTCCATTTACTAACTACTGACACTGAAAAAGTTCCTTCTAATGTCTCTGTGGCTCATTTGGGTACTCGCTTTCCACCTGTCCCCGCCTTGTGCGTGTACCACCCGTGTTAAATAATGCTTCCTTGTCCACCCTGTCAATTCCCCTGACAATTTTGTATGTGGTGATCATGTCTCCCCTAGCTCTTCTGTTTTCCAGCGACGTGAGGTGCAGTTCACGTAGTCTGTCCTCATAACTCATGCCTCTTAGCTCTGGGACTAGCCTAGTGGCATACCTCTGGACTTTTTCTAGCTTCATCTTGTGCTTGACTAGATATGCTCCATGCTGGGGCTGCATACTCCAGGATTGGTCTTACATATGTGGTATACAAGGTACTGAAGGATTCCTTACACAGGTTTCTGAAAGAAGTTCTGATGTTAGTCAGCCTTGCATAGGCCGCTGATGTTATTCTTTTGATGTGGACTTCAGGAGACAGGTTTGGCGTGATATCAACTCCTAGATCTTTCTCTGTCCGTTTCGTGAAGGACTTCATCTCCCATTCGGTATCCAGTGACTGCCCTCCTAGTTCCTCCTCATAGTTTCATTACCTTACGCTTACCTAGGTTGAACTTTAGTAGCCATGTGTCGGACCATTCCTTCAGTTTGTCTAGGTCATCTTGTAGCCTCGTACTATCCTCCTCAGTCTTGATCCTCATAATTTTTGCGTCATCAGCAAACATCGAGAGGAACGAGTCAATTCCTTCTGGGAGATCAATTACGTATACCAGAAACAGTATAGGTCCAAGAACTGATCCCTGTGGGACTCTATTGGTGACTCCCCGCCACTCCGAGACCTCACCTCTCACGGTGACTCGCTGTGTCCTGTTGCTTAGGTACTCCCTTATCCAGTGGAGTACCTTCCCTATCACTCCTGCCTGCATCTCCAGTTTGTGCACTAGTCTCTTATGGGGTACTGTGTCAAAAGCTTTCTGGCAGTCCAGAAATATGCAGTCTCCTCAGCCCTCTTTCTCTTGCCTGATTTTTGTTGCCTGGGCATAGAACTCTCTTAAACCTGTTAGGCATGATTTGCCATCTCTGAACCCATGTTGATGGTGTGTTACAAAGTTCTTCAGCTCCAGATGTTCCACTAGCTTTTTTCGCACAATCTTCTCCATTATCTTGCATGGAATGCAAGTTAGGGACACTGGCCTGTAGTTCAGTGCCTCCTGCCTATCACCCTTCTTGTATATTGGGACTTTATTGGCCGTCTTCCAAGTTTTTGGCAGTTCACCTGTTACCAGTGACTTGTTGCACACTATGGAGAGTGGCAGGCACAGAGCTTCTGCTCCTTCCTTTAGTATCCATGGTGAAATTCTATCTGGGCCTATAGCCTTTGTCACGTCCAACTCTAGCAGATACTTCCTCACCTTCCCACTGATAATCACAAACTCCTCCAATGGTGTCTGGTTTGATGTTCCCTCCCTTATCTCTGGGACTTCTCCTTGCTCTGAGGTGAAGACTTCCTGGAATTTCTTATCGAGTTCCTCACACACTTCCTTGTCGTTTGTACTGAATCTTTCTGGCCCTATCCTCGGTTTCATTACCTGTTCCTTCACTTGTTTTCCTCGTGATGTGGCTATGCAGCAGTTTGGGTTGAGTCTTTGCCTTGCTCGCTATGTCATTTTCATATTGCCTCTCTACCTCTCTTCTCACCCTGACGTATTCATTCCTGGCGCTCTGGTATCTTTCTCTGCTCTCTTAGTGTTCTGTGTCTATAGTTTCTCCACCACTAACCCTCCACTCCTCTTCCCTCTCACCCTTCCTGCAATTAACCTTTTTCATAACGTTTTGAAACTTTATGATAATTTCCCCCCCCCCCCACCCTACCAGAGGAACCTTAACTTAGTTTTGGATAATAAAATTCGCAAGTTTATTTAATTTTTTTCATTTTCAAATTAGGTGTATTTTCGACCAGACGGACAAACGGCCAAATTGCGACGTAATTTGTAAGAGGACAAACGGACAGCGTGCCCTTGATAACCACTACGATATCTTCCATTGTCACAGGGGCTTAATCTTTTTATATAATGTGTGTTTTAGGTGTGGCCTCTTTATCATCTATTAGACATTACAGTATGTGACATTTTGTTCCCGCCCGCCCGCCCGCCCGTGTTGACCCACCAATCCTTGAGGTACGTGATGTCTCCCACTAACCCGTCTCATTCCTTGCCTCTCACATGTCACTCACTCACTTGCGTGTGGGTGAGGGGCGCTAGCTTGTGTGAGGGTGTGGGGTGCTAGCTAGGGTGAGGGTGTGGGGTGCTAGCTTGGGTGAGGGTGTGGGGTGCTAGCTTGGGTGAGGGTGTGGGGTGCTAGCTTGGGTGAGGGTGTGGGGTGCTAGCTTGGGGGAGGGTGAGGGGGCGTGCTAGATTGGGTGAGGGTGGGGGGGTGCTAGCTAGGGTGAGGGGTGGTGGGGTGCTAGCTAGGGTGAAGGGTTTGTGGGGGGCTAGTTGCGTGTGGGTGTGGGGTGCTAGCTTGCGTGTGGTGAGGGGGGTGCTAGCTTGCGTGTGGGTGAGGGGTGCTAGCTTGCGTGTGGGTGAGGGGTGCTAGCTTGGGTGAGGGTGTGGGGTGCTAGCTTGGGTGAGGGTGAGGGGTGCTAGCTTGGGTGAGGGTGTGGGGTGCTAGCTTGGGTGAGGGTGTGGGGTGCTAGCTTGGGTGAGGGTGTGGGGTGCTAGCTTGGGTGAGGGTGTGGGGTGCTAGCTTGGGTGAGGGTGAGGGGTGCTAGCTTGGGTGAGGGTGTGGGGTGCTAGCTAGGGTGAGGTGTGTGGGGTGCTAGCTTGGGTGAGGGTTTTGGGTGCTAGCTTGGGTGAGGTGTTGTGGGGTGCTAGCTGGGGTGAGGGTGAGGGGTGCTGGTTGGTGAGGGTGTGGGGTGCTAGCTTGGGTGAGGGTGTGGGGTGCTAGCTTGGGTGAGGGTGAGGGGTGCTAGATTGGGTGAGGGTTGGGGGTGTCTAGAGTGGGTGAGGGTGAGGGGTGCTAGCTTGGGTGAGGGTGTGGGGTGCTAGCTTGCGTGTGGGGGGTGAGGGGTGCTAGCTTGGGTGAGGGTGTGGGGTGCTAGCTTGGGTGAGGGTGTGGGGTGCTAGCTTGGGTGAGGGTGAGGGGTGCTAGCTTGGGTGAGGGTGTGGGGTGCTAGCTTGCGTGTGGGGGGTGAGGGGGAGGGGAGGGGGGATAGAGGCGTGCCTCAGCCAACCACTGAGAATTCCATCTTGTTCATTAATTACTAGTGGTGAGATTCTGTACACGTAGTGGACGGGTAATACTGCAATTGGAGACACCCTAATGACACACTACTGGCTCTCCTGTAGCTCACACTTGGTATTCACTCTCAGGACACGTGTCAGGAGAAAACGCTGAGCCAGTATGACTATACACCACTTGGGAGCCATACGAGGACGGAGTGAAGGGACCCCAACCACTTTGACCATCGGGGATCGAACTCCGACGTTGCAAGATACTCGCTAAGGCCGCTGCTCTACCGACCAGTTGAAGTGCGGCTTCATTATTTACCCCAGAAGTGGTTGGGGAGGTGTGAGATGGTGTCCATGTGTGAGGTGTGGTATATTGACCCATCTGACTAGTGGTTCTGGCAGGCGGTGCAGGCCTTGACCTCCACCGGAGGGGGGGGGGTTGTGGGGAACTTAAGGTGGTGGTCACAACTAAGATGAACACAAGAGCTACAGTGTGTGTGTGTGTTTAGGCTTGGAGTAAGTGTGACCTTTAAGGTGGTGAGTGTGTCAGTCACCAGGAGCCGTGGGGGGGGGGGGGGGGGGGTTACGTAATGTTCACCTGCGGCAGTGTTCACACACACCTGTATAATGAACACCTTCCGTCTCTGGTAATGTTCACATCATCATATTCTCACCAGGTCCAGAATATAAGATGAACATTGCGTAAAGAGCCGTATAAGTTAGTGGAGCTTCCAGAATATGATCGTGTGTATAATGACATCCACCAATGAGAGAGGATTAGGCCAACGTCTCCTGGTGTTGACCAATCATTGCGCAGGGCGAGGCGCGGGACGCTGGTTGCCTTGACAACGGAGACGCCTCAGGTGTTGACTGTGGTGGCCCATACCAGGTGGGCGCCCGTGGGGGCACATGCCCGCTGGACATTACCCGGGCGTGGCTGGACACTCTCACTGGCTAATGTGACCACCAACTGAAGTGTAGTGCCTCGTCATCCTCATTATCTCAGACATGGTGCTTTTGTGCTGCAAACGGTGGAGGGGGAGGTGTGTGTGTGTGTGTGTGTGTGTGTGTGTTCGTTTGGTTTTGTGTGTGTGTGTGGTGTGTGTGTGGTGTGTGTGGTGTACTCACCTATTGTTGTTTGCGGGGGTTGATCTTTGGCTCACTGGTCCCGCCTCTCAACTGTCAATCAACTGGTGTACAGATTCCTGAGCCTACTGGGCGCTTATCATATCTACACTTGAAAACTGTGTATGGAGTCAGCCTCCACCACAATAAACTCCTAATGCATTCCATCCGTTAACTACTCTGACACTGAAAAAGTTCCTTCTAACGTCTCTGTGGCTCATGTGGGTGCTCAGTTTCCACCTGTGTCCCCTTGTTCACGTCCCACCAGTGTTGAATAGTTTATCCTTGTTTACCCGGTCGATTCCTCTGAGAATTTTGTAGGTTGTGATTATGTCTCCCCTTACTCTTGTCTTCCAGTGTCGTAAGGTGCATTTCCCGCAGCCTTTCGTCGTAACTCATGCCTCTTAGTTCTGGGACTAGTCTAGTGGCATACCTTTGGACTTTTTCCAGCTTCGTCTTGTGCTTGACAAGGTACGGGCTCCATGCTGGGGCCGCATACTCCAGGATTGGTCTTACATATGTGATGTACAAGGTTCTGAATGATTCCTTACACAGGTTCCTGAACGCTGTTCTGATGTTAGCCAGCCTCGCATATGCCGCAGACGTTATTCTCTTTATGTGGGCTTCAGGAGACAGGTTTGGTGTCATATCAACTCCTAGATCTTTCTCTGTCCGTTTCATTAAGTACTTCATCTCCTATTCTGTATCCTGTGTCTGGCCTCCTGTTTTCACTGCCTAGTTTCATTACTTTGCATTTACTCGGGTTGAACTTCAACACCCATTTATTGGACCATTCACTCAGTCAGTCTAGGTCATCTTGTAGCCGCCTCCTATCGTCCTCAGTTTCAATCCTCATAATTTTTGCATCATCGGCAAACATTGAGAGAAACGATTCTATACCCTCTGGGAGATCATTTACATATACCAGAAACAGTATAGGTCCAAGGACTGACCCCTGCGGGACTCCACTCGTGACGTCTCGCCAATCTGAGACCTCACCCTTCACGCTGACTCGTTGTCTCCTGTTGCTTAGGTACTCCTGTATTCAACGGAGTACCTTCCCTTTCACTCCAGCCAACACACGCACACTCTTCACTGTGTGTGTGTGTGTGTGTGTGTGTGTGTGTGTGTGTGTGTGTGTGTGTGTGTGTGTGTGCTCGCCTAGTTTTACTCACCTATTTGTGTGTGCAGGATCGAAACATTGACTCTTGGATCCCGTCGTTCGAGCATCGGATGTTATAGTAATGACTCTGGTCTTGTTTCCATATCATACCTAGTTTTAAAATGGTGAATTAGTATTTGCTTCCACAACCTGTTCCTAAAGTGCATTCCATTTTCCCACTACTCACTCCCGCTAAAAGAAAACTTCCTAAACATCTCTGTGACTCGTCTGAGTTTCCAGCTTCCACCCAGGTCCCCTCGTTCTGTTACTATTCCGTTTGTGAACATTTTCGTCATGTCCACTCTGTCAATCCCCCTGAGTATTTTATACGTTCCTATAATGTCCCACCCCCCCCTCCCTCCTTCTTTTCTAAGTTCGTAAGGCACAGTTCCCTCAGGCGCGCCTCATACCCCATCCCTCGTAACTCTGGGAAGAGTCACGTTGCAAACCTCTGAACCTTTTCCAGTTTCCTTATATGCTTCTTCAGATGGGGGACTCCATGATGAGGGCGGCATATTTTAAGACTGGCCTCTCACGTAGGCAGTGTAAAGCGCTCTAAATGCTCTCCTTACTTAGGTTTCTGAAAGATGTTCTAACTTTTGCCAGTGTAGAGTACGCTGCTGTCGTTATCCTATTTATATGTGGTTCAGGAGATAGAGAGGTGTTACGTCCACTCCCAGGTCTTTCTCTCGCGTCGTCACAGGTAGGCTGTTCCCCTTCATGTGTACTGTCCCTGTAACACTGTAAAAGTGTTTGGTGTTAGTTTAATACATACATAGAGTACACGAGTCACAGACAAGGATCCGAGAGGCGCCAGTTGTCTGCCTGAGATCTCACACCCTCAAACCGTTAATGACCCCAAGGGACCTGAGGTCAGATCATGAGAATTTCACCTTGCTTCCGCTAAGCTTATAATTGTAGTCCTGGTAGCCTTCAAACATGCCGACGTTTAAGGAGTGGCTTGGTAGTGCCGGAGGCTATCTACTTGTGGGCGGAGTTAGTTTCTAGGGTCCCCAATATATACTGAGGGAGCATAGAGCATTGAAGCATTAAGAGAACAGCAGACAGCAGAGCGGAGGAAAGACGTCCCTAGCAGGGAGGCTGTCGGCCGGGCAGGGGCGAGACAGTCTCTGTCAAGGTACCCCAGACCCCCCCCCCTCTCTATTTGACTTACTCAGTCCTCGGTGAGTTGAGCATTAAGGTGACCTGGTCGTGTTTACATATGTTGTGTGATGATCAGGGGCAGTCAAGTTGTAGGGTTCTCGAATTCTTGGATGATGACTCACTTTGAATATTAATCTTTAACATTTTAATTGGATTGCTTATATTATGATACTTAGTATGTGAAATACATGAACTTATTATTTAAATCTCGTCTTTGTTCCCTAGAGCTTTGAGTTGAGGTGAAAGCCTCGGTGGTTACTAGATTCAAGATATTAATGAGTACTTGTTTGAGTTGATACATGGTACAGAGGGAACATACTAATAATGAACTCATGATAACATCCTTTGAGAATTTGTGATACAGGCAAGTTCCATTCCTTGTCTTGTATGTAATGATCATGAATGGATGGTGGCAGCATTTCGTCTTCTACTATCTACTTTCGACTTCTACTATCTACTCTTCTACTTCTACCTATCTACACCTCTCCCTCCACCCCTCTCTGAACTCTCACTTTCAACTAATGACCCTCCTCGCTCCTCCCACCTCTCTGCCTCTCACCCCAAACCCTCACTAATTACTTCACTATTCATTTCTTTCCTTTCGTTTTCTCTTGTACGTTTGTGGCAATGATTATGTATTCTAGAGTTCTCTCTAGAGTTTCGGGTAGCTGATCAAGTTACGGTGCCTTGTAGTCTTAGCACCTAGGTAGTCAAATACCTAGGTTACAAGGTGTTGAACGAGAGAGGTTGCCTTAGGAACTCTGGGAGTGCTCTAGAATAGTTAGCTAACTGGAGACGGGATAACGGACTAGAGAGAGCTGTTTCCCCCGGCTTCGTTAGTTAACTGGGGGGTGGAATAATGGACAAGATAGAGCTATTTCCCCCACCCCCCGTTACATCCCTTTGGTCTCCTATCTCCTAGTCCCATTTCCATAACTTTACATTTGCTCGTGTTGAACTCCAGTAGCCATTTCTGACCATCTCTGCAACCTGTTCAGGTCCTCTTGGAGGATCCTGCAATCCTTATGTCACAACTCTTCTCATCAACTTTGCGTCATCCGCGAACATCGACATGTAGGACTCTACTCCTGTAAACATGTTAACATATACTAGAAATAGAATTGGTCCCAGCACCAATCCTTGAGGTACTCCACTTGTTACTGTTCGCCAGTCAGACTTCTCGCCCCCCCCCCTTACCGTAACTCTTTGGCTCCTTCCGGTAAGGTAGTTCCTTACCCATGCTAGGACCTTTCCTCCCACCCCCGCCTGCCTCTCGAGTTTGAACAGCAGTCTCATGTGCGTTACTGTATCAAAGGCTTTTTGGCAGTCCAGAAATATGCAGTATGCCCAACCATCTCTGTCCTGTCTTATCCTCGTTATTTTATCATAGATAGAATTCCAAAAGGTTAGTTAGGTGTGTGAGGTGTGTGTGTGTGTACTCTCCTAATTGCACTTACAAGAGTTGAGCTTGAGCTGTTTGGTCCCATCTCTTAAGACCATCGGTCAACTAGTATGAAAGTTGGTGAGTGTTGATGTCTTATATCAACACTTGAAACTGTGTATGGAGTCTGCCTCCAGCACGTCACTACTTAATGACTCTCACGTCTTTAATATTGACTCCAAAAAAATGTTTCCAAGTCCTCACTTGGGTACCAAGTTTGTACCAAACTGTAGTGTTGTATGGGAGGTTTTCTCACTACAGGATGGACATTTTGACACTGACAGCAACTCATCTGAAGGGCGTAGATTTGTGTGTGGGAGAGTGTGGTGATGAGCAGAGAGCGTGCCACAGTGTGATGGGTAACTACCAGGGTGAGGCTGGTCTAGTGTTGCCTGAGGCAGGAGGTGAGGACTCTCACAGTGGCAGAGTACTGGGTGTTAACACTGCTAGCATGACCCGCGGTCATCACTCGTGTACTGGACCAACACCATCACCACCACCGGAGCTCCTCTCACACACCCGCCAGTAACGGAAGTGATGACTCTTCACACCTTCCTGCAGCAGCAGCAGCAGCAGCAGCAGCAGCAGCAGTAGCAGCAGCATCAAGTCTCATCATTCATGATGATCCAACACGGACCCGAGCCTCCTCACTCCCTGCATGCTCACCTGAGTGGACTTGGTGTTTAAGAGTGTTGAATATCCCGTCATTATTCCCTTGACGCCTGTCAGTACGAGGTACCTGTAGTTGTCCTTATCTTATCCAATCTTATCCGTTATCATAAGAGGATACCACAAGTAACGACAGGAGGCCTGTTGCCCCGTGCCAGGCGCTCTATATACCACCCCAGATGTGTACACTTATAACACACACATTATAATAACCTTGAAACAGCTGGGTTGTGTTGTTACCTGGTAATTTGCTCCATAAATCAACAATACTATTTTTAAACCGGTATTTACCTCTAGGCAGCCAGGGTTTGGCAGTGTAGGCGGCTCATCAAAGTGCAGTATTAACCATCCTGTGAGATGTAGATTGTAATGAGCTTATCTCTTGACACTGTAACCCTTCATATAGTCCAGGGCAGCTGTATACATGCCCAGAGACCTACCCATGTGAGAGAGAATGAGCGGGGATTGTTTGACCTTGAAGGTGTGTGGTGGAGTAGTGGATTTTGTAGACAGGAAATGTGGAGGTGTAGGGGGGTTGTGGAATGTGTTGGCGTGAGGTTAGTGAGACCTTAGACACGGGATACAGTAACACAACCTCTCTCTCTGTCTGTGTATGTCTGTGTCTGTGATATAAACAAGTTGAAGAGTTGCGTGACTTGTGGAGCAGTGAACGTTATCATTACGTTAGTTCTTCTGCCTCTACTACCCCCCCCCCTATTATTATTCCTCCCCCGCCCCCCTTACCGCCATTCGTGCCCCACTATTATGGTCCAACCCCGTCCTCCCCCCTCACTAGCCGCTTTCCCCCCCCCCCTCTCCACACCCTGATGGTTGCTTGTGGTGCGGGAACACAGTGAGGCTCACTGCGTGATGTCTGTGATTTACTGGAGCGTGTGTGGTGTTAAGGCCGTCACATGGCATCATCACCTCTACACTGGGTTTTGAGAGGCGGGACCCAAGAGCCGTGGCTCATCTCTCCCTTACTCACCACTAGGCGAGTACACCATTGTATCAGTTGTGCAGTATAAAGTAGTGTTGAAGTGTATAATGAGTTATCAATGTTTGCTTGGTATGATGATCGTGCATGTGAGGAACAAACACACCCATTGTTTGCTGGGGTGTGTTGTGTGGCTACGGGGGAGGTGTGAGGCGGAGTGTGTCGGGAGAGCCTTCACACGTCTCTTGTCATCTCTCAACCATGTGTTGTGAGCCTTCACACACACCTAACAACTTCTTCTACCCACCATCTAGTAAAGCTTTAACTGCATGTGTGCGCGTATATATGTATATACATTAGTTGCACACAATGAATGTGGAAATAACATTTCATTTACCTGTACCATCGAAGCCTGGAAACCCGCGACAACAGGAGTGGAAGACAAGGTTCTACTGACCTAACTACCAATACCCACAATAAGAGAGGGTCCCATACACACATGGTATGCAACTGGGGTGTTTCAACTTGTATGGGACCCCACCAAACTAATGTGATGCCCCAGGAGAGGGGGGCCCAGATGGGTACCAGTTCTCTCTCCAGGGTCATATCTTATTGTGGGTGTTCGTAGCTAAGTCGGTACCGCTCCTGTCTTCCACTCACTGAGTGTGAGGCTCCGATAGCACGAGTGAATGAAATGTATACACATGTATATATTGGTAACCACCACATTGTTGACATATTTCATTCACTTGAACCCTGGGAACCTGGAACGGCAGACCACAAGAGCAGTCAGTCTTACCAGCTGAGCCTCGAGCCTCTACTATACTCAACGGTTTTTCAGTTAAATATGTTTGTGTGTCTACCCAAGGCAGCCGTCCCCATACCTTGTGCTTTGCTGTAGCAGCTGTGAAGTCGCCTCCCGGAAGAACACTGTGGTGTTACCCTGCCAGTGGAGTGGCAGTAGAAGGATTACCCGGGACCGACTGCTGGAGACGATTATCCACTGGGGTATTGAGGACAGGAGAGTGATTTGTGGTATCGCACGAGGCTCCTGACTAGGGCTTTACCCTAGTATCGCTCGTGGAGTGGCCTGACCAGCGTTGCTGATCCGGAACCTGCCAGCAGACCTGCTGGACTTGTGGTTGACGGCCTCCACGGCGGTGCCCCCCAGTGGACCTGTGTTTTGGCTGACCTGTGGCCAGGGTAGACTCAGCTTCTCAGAGGATTCGTTGTGAGGCCACGAAAGCACCGAGGACTTAGCACCAAGAGCTTGGATCCAGAGTCTTCAGGAGAAGACGATTGTGTACAGTG